TTTAGGTCTGCTTCTTTTTGTAAACTTTATGTGTCTTTGTGGTTTACTCTTTGGGCATGAAAAGCTGGTTCCTTTAAGCTTCCTGTTCTCTCTTTTGATTTTATATTGGAGTGGCCAGATTGCTTTTGTGTTCAGGAGTTCCCACAGAGGCCCAATTCAGATGAGGGTCAGATGTTTTCGGGCTTTCTCCTAAGGTCTGAATTACTCCAGGAACGATTTTGGTCTCATGAATTTGGGTGTTGGACTGGCCTGGGAGCCTTGCCCAGGAAAGATGCTGGTCTAGGGCAGCTGGTGGCCATGCCACCCAGACAGGCAAAGGCAGATGGGGCGGGAAGACGCCTCAAGGACTCCTGGGGACTTTGCTGAGGAGCTGTGTTGGTCTGGATGCAAAGGATCAGGAAGAGGAAAGGTCAGCCCCCATGTCCCAGAAAGAGTCTGGCTGGTGGTGCAGGCCCAGGGAAGCAGAGGGAGGTGAGGGCAGGGCAGGGCCAGAAGCCATGCTCCTGGGGCTCAGAGAAGGTACTAAGTTCATCTGGATGAAAAGGATCAGGAAGCAGTATTGGTTCCCCAGGTGTCTGGGGCCCCAAGACGAGGAATGGGGCAAGACCCAAACTAGGAGAGACCTGCGGGGGAGATGGGAGGGAGCTGGGGGAGTCAAGGAGTGGAGGGCACAATGGCCTTACCTTGGAGAGAGGCCTGAGGGTAGGAGAGAGGCCTGCCTTGGGTGGTACAGGGCCAGGGAGGCAGAGGGGGGTGAGGGCGGGGCCAGGCCCAGATGCAGTGCTCCTGGGTCCCAGAGAGGGCACTATGTTGGTCTGGATGAAAAGAATCAGGAAGCAGTATTGGTTCTCCAGGTGTCTGTGTTCCCAAGACAAGGATTGGGGCAGGGCCCAAACTCGGAGGAGAGAAGGGCGGGGGAGATGGGAGGGTGAATAAGGCTGGGGGAGTCAAGGCATGGAGGGTGCAATGGACTTACCCAGGATAGAGGCCTGTTGGTGGGAGAGAGGCCTGTGGTAGGTGGTACAGGCCCAGGGAAGCAGAGGGAGGTGAGGGTGGGGCCAGGCCCAGAAGGAGTGTTCCTGGGGCCCAGAGAAGGCCCTGCATTGGTCTGGATGAAAAGGATCAGGAAACAGTATTGGTTCCCCAGGTGTCTGGGGCCCCAAGACGAGGAATGGGGCAAGACCCAAACTAGGAGAGACCTGCGGGGGAGATGGGAGGGAGCTGGGGGAGTCAAGGAGTGGAGGGCACAATGGCCTTACCTTGGAGAGAGGCCTGAGGGTAGGAGAGAGGCCTGCCTTGGGTGGTACAGGGCCAGGGAGGCAGAGGGGGGTGAGGGCGGGGCCAGGCCCAGATGCAGTGCTCCTGGGTCCCAGAGAGGGCACTATGTTGGTCTGGATGAAAAGAATCAGGAAGCAGTATTGGTTCTCCAGGTGTCTGGGTCCCCAAGACAAGGAGTGGGGCAGGACCCAAACTAGGAGAGACCCACGGAGGAGATGGGAGGGTGAATGAGGCTGGGGGAGTCAAGGCACGGAGGGAACGATGGACTTACCCCGGAGAGAGGCCAGCCTGTAGGACAGCAGTATCCACTCTTTAACTGCTGAGCCAGCTCTCCTGCTCTAGGTGTTTTTGACTGATTGAACATATTTAGGACAGATACTGTAACATCTATGACTAACAATTTAAAAAATATATATATTATTATATTTTTATTTTTGTGTATAAGTGTATTGCTCACAGGTAAGTATACCTGTGTCGTACAACATTCATGGAATTCAGAATTGGCTATCAGATTCCCCTGGAATTGGGGTTATGGATAGTTGTTAGCCGCTATGTGGGTGCTGGGAATCGAACCTCAGTCCTCTGCAAGAACAACCAGTGCTCTTAACTGCTGTGCCATCTCTCCAGCTCCCTAGGACTAATAATTTTAATGGGAGAGTTTACTCAGGTTTGTTTATTTGTCAGGTTTTCTTTTATTTACTCTTTTAATTTTATGTGTATATCACCTATATTTACGTAAGCACACCTGTGTTGTGCATTGCCCGCTGAGGCCAGAAGGTGGTGTTGGATCCCCTGGAACTAGAGTTATATATGGTTGTTAGCTGCCACTTGGGTGCTGGGAATTGAACCTGGGTCCTCCACAAGAACAGTGGGTGCTCTTAGCCACTGAGCCATCTCTCCAGCCCCTCTTTTTTTGTTTTAGAGATTTATTTTATTGTCAGTTATGTGTGTGTGTGCGCGCATGCGTGTGCGTGTACACGCATGCGCGTGTATGTGAGTATAGGTGCCTGCAGAGTCCAGAAGAGGACATTAGATCCTCTGGAGCTAGAGTTACAGGTGGTTGTGAGCCACCTGACAAGGGTGCTGGGACTTGAAGTTGAGTCTCTTGGAAGAGCAGTATGTGCTCTTATTCCTGGGCCAACTCCAGCCCTGTTAGATGCCTGTGTCTCAAAAGGGTTAGGGAACAAAGTGTACCTTTCTCTTATGTGGTGGTTGAATGAGAAATGTTCCCCCATAGCCTCCAACATTTGAGTACTTGGTCCCAGTTGGTGGCACTGTTTACAGAGGTTTTGGAAGTGCCGCCTTTTTGGAGGAAACACAATCACTGGGGTAGACTTGGAGAGTTCATAGCCTTGTCCCACTGAGGCCAGAAGAGGGTGCTTGACCCCTGGAACTGGAGTTAGAAATGGTTGTTAGACGCTATGTGGTGCTAGTAACTGAAGTCCTCTGGAAGAGCAACCCGTGCTCTTAATTGCTGAGCCACCTCTCCAGCTCCAACTTCTTATCTGCTCTTCATCTTTGATCCTGTAGGTATTTGGCTAGACTCCAGAGTTCCAAAATAGTTGCTTCAGACAGTCCTGTGGGCCGACTGGTTATTTTAGTCACGGTTTCCTAAAGCTTTCTCTTACTTTGCCTGTGATACCACTCTCCTGTCTTTGTTAATCTAGGTGTTGGGTGCATGCTGTGGTTTCCAGCTAGTCAGAAGGACCAGTTAATGCTTGAGTTTGAGATTAGCCTGGGAAATATAATTAGACCATATCTCAAAAAGCAAACCATTTTGAAACCAACCTCAGAATATTACTCCAAACCCAACCACAACTCCTATGTTAAATATTTTAGTGTATTATTTTAATTTCTGGGGTGGGGGTGGGGACAAGGTCTTGTGTTTCACTAAATTTTTCTCCCTCCCCCTTCTTGGGAGACTGGCCCTTACTCCCAGTCCTGATGCTGGTTTACAAAACTGAAATAAGATATTCTATTTGAATTTTGCATAGTTTATTTGACATTTGGGAGGGGACGACTTACAAAAGTACGGATTCTTATAGGCTTTTCCTTTTCCATATTTGAAATGCACGCACCATGGGTGTTTGCCTCCTCTCCAATATGGCAGCAGCTCCACCTAATGGCTTGACTTACAAAGAAAGGCTTCTCATAACCCATACACCATCCAAGTCCCACCTGTAAAGCCCCACTGCTGGCAGTCTCCTTCAGCTTTCCAGCTCCATGGCTACAGTCTGAGTGCCTCATCTTGCCCTGCAGAGCCCACGAGATGCTGGGCTGGACTTCCTGCCTTTTGCTGCTCCCTGGCTGCATATTCCAGCTCCTGGAGTTCCAAAATATGGCTGGGGTGCAACCCCTTTTCCTAGGGTGCCCCGAGTAATTTTCGGGCTACATCATGCTATGTTAACTAGGTTGGCTGGCTTCAAACTCCTTATCTCCTGCCTCAACTTCCTGAGTGCTGGGGTTAAAGGTATATGCCACCATATCTGGCTGCCTAATGTTTTAAAAAACTGTATTTTGGGGCTGGAGAGATGGCTCAGTGGTTAAGAACACTGACTGCTCTTGCAGAGGACCTGGGTTCAATTCCCAGCACCCACATGGTGGCTACAAACCATCCTTAACTCCAGATCTAGGGGAATCCGAAGCCCTCTTCTGACCTCTACGGCATTGCATGACATGGGTGCACTCACATACACGCAGGCAATACAAACACATAAAATAAAAAAAAAAAAACAAAGTGAAATTCTGATCCTTAACTAGATCTAGGGGAATCCGAAGCCCTCTTCTGACCTCTACGGCATTGCATGACATGGGTGCACTCACATACACGTAGGCAATACAAACACATAAAATAAAAAAAAATATTTTTTAAAACTGTATTTTTTTAATGCATTTGTATTCTATAAGTATGAGTGTTTTGCCTGCATATAAGAGTACCACAAGCATGAAGTGCCTTCGGAGGCCAGAAGAGGGTGTTGGATTCCCTGGACCTGGAGTTATAGATTTTTATTATCTGAACTAGTCGGAATGAAAGGAGGTCAGCGTGACTGTATCTTGAGCACCTCTGTAACCAGCCACCTTTGCCTTTCTGTCTTGGCAGAGGAACGTCATGGCATCCGGAGTCATCCCTCAGATTTCTCTGATCATGGGCCCGTGTGCTGGAGGGGCTGTCTACTCCCCGGCCCTCACAGACTTCACATTCATGGTGAAGGTAAGAAAGCTGGGCTCCTATCTTCCTGACCCAGATCTCAGTTATCTGAGTTCTCCTGGGTGTTTAGTGGAGGGATGATAAGGTCTTAGTGGAGGGAAGGTTTGGCAGAAATGTAGAGTATGGGTTCAGAGGCAGAAGGTGATTGTGTGATTGACTGAAGGGCCACTTTACTTGTTGATCTGAATTGCAAATGGTTTTCACCTAATCAGAGGATCCTGTCATCTACCCAGATTATGGCTGTTTATTCTTACTCACAAGGGTTCCCCAGGGAGGTTTTACTATGATCTGTTTTATTGGGAAGTTGCTTCTGATGTTCCATACTTACCTCTTCAACTATTTGCTATTTCCTATTTCTTTTTGTGATGGTAATGGGTAAATTTGATAACTAACTTCGAGAGCCATATGTTTTTATTACCTGGTGTTAATGAAATTTGTAAATGAAATTGAACTTATATGTGGATAACTAACTTTAATCTGATAGTTAAGAGAAAGAGGCTAGATTTTTTAAATATATGTATATTTTTAAAAGAGCAGTCATGACAGGCTGAGGGGAAACTCATGATGGTCACTCATTCTGAGAGAGTTCTAGTGTGACTGGGAGACACTTAGTTGCCAAGGACTATTTGATAGTCAGAATTTAGAAGTTCTAAAAGTTTGGGCTAGAGAGATGGCTCAGTGGTTAAAAGCACTGACTGCTCTTGCACAGGACCTGGGTTCAAATCACAGCACCCACATGGCTGCTAACAGCCATCCATAACTCCAGTTCCAGAGGTTCCAGTGCCCTCTTCTGACCTCCATGGGCATTGCACAACACAGGTACACTTACATGCATGCAGGCAATACAACTCATACACATAAAATTAAAATAATAAGGGGCTAGAGAGATGACTCAGCAGTTAAGAGCACTGACTGACCTTGCAGAGGACCCAGGTTCAAGTACCAGCACCCACAATGGCAGCTAACAGCCGTATATGGCTCCAGTTTCAGGGGATCTGACGCCATCTTCCACCTCTATGGGAATTGCACAGCATGGGTACACTTACATACATTCAGGCAATACACTCATACACATAAAATAAAAATAGGTAAAATATAAAAAATAAAAACAAGGCTTCCCTGGGCCTGCACGACCTGCTGGCCTCTCTCCTGGGTAAGTCTATTGCGCCTTCTGTGCCTTGACTCCCCCCAGCCTCATTCACTCTCCCATCTCCCCCGCCTGTCTCTCCTCCTAGCCTTGGCATCCCAGACACTGTGAGAACCACCACTGCTTCCTGATCCTTTGCATCCAGACCAACCCAGGTTCTTCTTGTAGTCCCGAGGAGCCCTCTGGGCCTGGTCCCACCCTCACCTCCCTCTGCGTCCCAGGGCCGTAGGGCCGCCAGCCTCTTTCCTGGACATTGAGGCTGACCTCTCAGCCCGGTGCCACCACTGCTTCCTGATCCCTTGCATCCGGATGGACCCAGTTTCTTCTTGCAGTCCCTGGGGGCCCTTTGGGCCTGGTCCCGCCCTCACCTCCCTCTGCTTCCCTGGGCCAGCACTACTCGCCAGCCTCTCTCCTGGGTAAATCCATCACAGCCTCTGCACCTTGACTCCCCCAGCCTCATCCCCCCCCCATCTCCCCTGCCCGTCTCTACTCCGAGCCTGGGTGCTGTCCTGTTCCATGTCTTGGCACCCCAGACACCGGGGAAACCACCAGTGCTACCTGATCCTTTGCATCCAGACCAACCCAGGTCCTTCTGGGGTCGCCAGGAGCCCTCGGGACCTGGTCCCACCCTCACCTCGCTCTGCTTCCTTGGGCTGCACAGCCCACCACCCTCTTTCCTGGACACTGGGGCTGACCTCTCCGCCCAGAACCAACACTGCTTCCTGATCCATTGGATCCAGACCAACCCAGTTCCTCCCTGCAGTCCCGAGAGGTCCTTGGGGCCTCTTCCTGCCCCCATCTCCCTTTGCATCTCTGGATAGCATGACCACCAGCTGCCTGAGACCAGCATCTTTCCTGGGCCCTGCTCCCAGGCCAGTCCAATCCCTAAATTCCTGAGGACAACATCTTTCCTGGAGGGATCCAGACCTTAGAAGAAAGCCTGAAATCATCTGATCCTCCTGACTTGGGCTTCTGTGGAAATTCCTGAAGACAAAACCAATTTGGCCATTCCAATATAAAATGAAAAGAGAAAACTGGAAGCTTAGATGAACCAGTTTTTCATGCCCCAAAAGTAAACCACAAAGGCACATAAAGTTTACAAAAAGAAGCAGACTAAACTTGAAGGCTTGACTCTCACACAAGAATCAGAAACTACAAAAGAAATACACATTTCAAAATCATAGAGAAAAAATAATAACATGAAAAACCAAAATAACATACCCCAGCAAATACCAATAGTCCTCTTGTGGAGTACAATGAGAACCCCCTAGAGATAATGCAGGACATGGCACTCCAAAGAAGAATTATAAACATGAGAAAAGAATTTAGCAAATTTAAAGAACACACAAATAAATCAAAGAACTGAAGGAAGATAGGGATAAATTTCTGAGTGAATTTAGAAAACAGAAATATTGAAGAATACTCAGGCTAAAATGAAGAAGGAAATGAAACTCTCAATAAGCCAATTAGAAATGACAGGAGAAAGCCTCACCAACAGAATGAAGGAAACAGAAAACAGAATATCAAGACTGGAAGATAAAGTTGATGAATTTGACCATTTGAGCAAAGATTATGAAAAATGTAAGAAAACACAGGAATGGAATATGCAGATCTTCAACAGAAAAATGGAAGAAAATTTTCCAAAATTAAAGACATACCCATACAAATACAAGAAGCACATAGAACACCAAACAGACAGGACACCAAACGTACAGAGCAAAGAGACAATACTGAAAGCTGCAAAAGAGAAACAAGTCACATATAAAGGAAAACCCATTAGGATCACAGCTGACTTTTCAGTGCAAACTATGAAAGCCAGGAGAGCCTGGACCAAAGTATTCCCAGTTTTAAATGACCACAGATGCCAACCCAGATGACTATACCCAGCCAAAATGTCTACTATAGTTGAACGGGAAGGAAAAATCTTCCATGACATAAATAGGCTAAAGGAATTCATGTCCACAAAACCAACCCTTCAGAGAGTTCTGGATGTAATATAAAGAGCTGAAGAAAGGAATGACTATACCCAAGGGGCTGCGGAAAGAAATTCAATGAAGGTATAACTGTGGAAGAGTACAGCTATATCAAGAATTTGAACAGAAATAAAAATGACAGGATTCAATACAAATCTTTCATTAGTAACATTAATATTAATGGACTGAACTCCCCAGTCAAAAGACACAGACTAGATGAATGGATTAAGAAACAAAACCCATCTTTTTGTTGTCTATAAGAAACTCATCTCACTTTCAAGGACAGGAACTATCTTTTTTTTTTTTTTTTTCCGGTCTTTTCAGACAGGGTCCACCTGTAGCCCCAGCTGTCCGGGAACTCACTATGTAGACCAGGCTGGTTTTGAACTCACAGAGCTCTGAACAGGCACTATCTTAAGGTGAAAGGATGGAAAAAAATATACCAAGGAAGTGACACTAAGAAAAAAACAGGCGTTACAATTCTGATATCTGACAAAATAGACTTTAAAACTAATCAGAAGAGATAAAGAGGGCCATTTCATTCTGATCAAAGGAACAATAAACCATGAAGATATTATAATCATGAACATATATTCACCAAACACTGGTGCACCCAACTTCATAAAAACAATACTACAGGACTTTAAGAGCCAGATTAATCCCAACTCATTAATACTAGGAGACTTCAATACCCCACTGTCTCCATTAGCAAGGTCAACAGGGCAGAGAGTTAACAGAGAGACATCTGAATTAAACAGTACCATATATCAATTGGACCTAACATACATCCACCCAAGCACCAAAGGACATACTTTCTATTCAGTGCCCCATGGAACCTTCTCCAAAATCGACCATATACTGGGGCACAAAAACAAACCTCAACAAATACAAAATGATTGAAATAACTCCATGCATTCTATCAGACCACAATGCAGTAAAGCTTAAAATCAACACCGGCAGAAGCCCTAGTCACCACGTGAACACATGGAGATTAAACAACACACTGCTGAATAATGAATGGGTCAAAAGAGGAATTAAGAAAGAAATAAAAGTATTCCTGGAACTAAATGAAAAGGACAACACAACAAAACCTTTGGGACACGCTGAAAGCTGTCCTTAGAGGGCAGTTCATAGCTCTAAGTGCCTACATTAAAAAATCAGAAAGAGGGCTGGAGAGATGGCCCAGCAGTTAAGAACACTGGTTGTTCTTGCGGAAGACCGAGGCTTGAATCCCAGCACCCACTTGGCAGCTAATAACTGTCTGTAGCTCCAGTTCCAGGAGATCCGACAGCCTCTTCTGTCCTCCGCGGGCATTTCACAACACGGGTGCACTTACCTACATCCAGGCAATACACGCATACAAATAAAAATATTTTTTTAAAAAAAATCAGAAGGCTGGGTGTGGTGGTGCTATCCTTTAATCCCAGCATTCAGGAGGCTGAGGCAGGCGGATCTCTGTGAGTTCAAGTCCTGCCTGGTCTACATAGGGAGTTCCAGGACAGCTGGGGCTAAAGGGAGACCCTGTCTCAAAAAGATCAAAA